TCCACCACTGAACTTGACACATAGGCTCTCGGATTTTCTTGTTGTCCTAGTGGGTCAATCAGAATATTATCAGGATGCACATTTGTTGGAAATTTATCCTTCAATGCTCTCCACAGACGATTCCTACTTGCAGCCAACAATTCAGGATCGTTCACTGCAGTCCCTACATATCTAATGAGTCCAGCTCTCTGAAAGACTTCTTCCATATCTGGAATCCCAATGAGATTAGCCAAAAGTCTCTTAACGTCTCCTATGGCTGACTGTGTTCCCACCGTAATTTCTTCCAATTTCGAAATCCAAGGACAGGCCCCATCTTGAAGAATAGGCAGCTTCTCAAGTATATTTGACATATCGGTATTTTGCAACGGCTTATATTCTAAGTTTTGACCTCGAATGATAACTGGCATCACTTTACTCGTGGCCTCTTTCCTTGGCCTCAATGCATATTTTCCCTCAACTTCTTTGGATTCTTTTTCCCGCAGTTTCTCCCTCTGTATCTTCAGCGTCTTGAGTTGTTCCTCTAGCTCTTTTACCTCTTCCAAAGTCCTCGCTTTATCCAGGCCTGATAAGCATCGGTCTATATCTTCTTCTATTTCTTCTGTGCCAGTCCTTGTAGGATAAACTCCTTTTGAATAAACAGCACCTTTAGTCTCCTCTTTATCGCTGTCTTCATCTTTGCTTTCATGAGAACTAGAATATCTTGTATCCTTCTTCTTCAAACCTTCCTCACCCCTTCTCTCCGTTCTGGCCAACCTCCGTTTGATCACAGGATCATATCCACCCATGATCTCCTCTGAATCACTCTGATCATCATCGTCCTCATCCAGTTTCATCCTACTTAACCTCATTCCACCCTTAGTTTCCAGACATCTCGTTTTCTTTTTACTTTTGGAGTTTGGATGCATTTTTATGGTCGTTTCTGCTTGTCCTCTCTCTATTATTCGTTCATCTTCATCTCTGATGCAATAATCACCCTGCTGGAGGATCACTGGAAGCTGAGGATAAACATCCCTAAGCTCTACTTCCTTCTCATAAGGTGGGGGTCTTTTCGCTGAATCTGTATGTGAGAAAGGTATACTGACTTCTGCCCTTAGTTTTTCTGTCGCCTTCTCTTCCTTTAGCATTTTCTCTATACCTTTGTTTCTCTTATCGTTGGTATCTTTCATCAGTTTTTGTCCTTCATCTTCAAACAGCTTAAGAACACCCAGCTCCCTTTGTCTCTTTTCTTTATGTCGTTCCCTTTTTTCCCCTTCTTTTGATCTGCCTTGTAAATTGACAGAAGCACCTTCATGATGTTGATGACGTCAGGGTTAAGAGTCCCTTCCACTGGCCATGGTTGTTCAATGTCAGGCCAACGTTTGTTCCATTTGCCGGATAACCTCGCAATACCCTTAACTAAAGGATTACTATTTTCAACTATATCAAACCGGTGTAATGACTTTCATAGCCTTGCTGTCCTTTCTCCCCATTGTAACTACTCTTTTATATTCCTTTATTGTGAATTATTTTATTTTAGACTATATAGCCTATGGCTTCCCCCCTTTAATTATTAATATAAACTAAACAACCCCCAAAAAAATTTTACATCAATAAAAATATTAATATTAAAAAAATTATATTAAAAATTATATTAAAAATTATATTTAAAATTATATTTAAAATTCATCTTTTCAACTTTTCATCTATTCTTCATCAAAAGTTTGAGTTCCTCCCTTCTAAGCTCCCCTGAGGTATTGTGCTCCATACGGTCATAAACTAGTTTAATTTAAGAAGACCACGAGTGGGGCTTTTATTTTCTAAATGGAAAATTACCATCTCGTTTAAATTTTTCAACTCGAAGCAATGAGCCCATTCAGTCCTCCATCACAACAAAATCAAAAATAACAGATTAGGCTAATTAGTGGGTTATGCTCAGGTTAAACAATTTGGCAAATCTATATTTCCATTTTATGTTATAAAATGTAAAATGTCCATAATTGTGTATAATATCACTCCTCTCCCAGGTCCAGGATCACATTCTCTGTGGGCACTTGCAACATACATCACCGGAGAAACGCCTTTCCCTGAGTTTATGGTTGTGGTGATGTTGGATGATGTTCAAGTGGCTTACTATGACTCCAACGATAAACAGACTGTATTCAAAGACAAAAACCGAGGATGATGAAGCTCAGGACGCAGCTTTTATATTTGAAGATATATACCAGGGGATGAAAGACAGATCAGTTGAACTAAATCACCACTTTAATCTCACGGAAGGTGTTCAAGTTCAGCAAAGATGGACTGGCTGTGAGATGTTTGACAATGGTGAACCGGCCGTGGCCATATTTAAGAACATTTTCAATGGCATTTATGAAGATTATGGGGTATATTACAACATAACACATTCAACATATAATGCTGATAAACTACTACCAGGATGGGATGGGATGATACACGCATACAAAAGTACACTTTGGGAGAATGTTTACTTTCCCATTTGCATCAAATCACTTAAGAGAGTCCTGAAAAGAGACAAACACTTTGTGATGCGTAAAGTGCCTCCCAGACTCAGGTTGATAAAGAAAGAGGTTTCTGGAGGACTCCAGGTGAGCTGCCTGGCGTTTGGTTTCTACCCCCGCCACATCAACCTGACCCTGCTGAGAGACGGCCAGCCAGTGGCAGAACAGGAGCTGGCAGGGGGGGAGGTTCTGCCTAGTGGAGATGGGACCTACCAGCTGAGGAAGAGTCTGGAGGTCAGTACTGAGGAGCTAAAGAAGAGACACAACTACACCTGTACTGCCTCTCACCTCAGTCTGGACAACAAGCTGGATGTCAGTTGGGAGTCTGGGGCAGAGAGAGTACACCTATCCACCCTCTCAGCTCTACTGGTGATGCTGCTGATTGTTGTTCTATTGGGCATTTTCATTTGTGTCAAAAGGAGGTGGAGATGCACTGCCTCCATGTCTAAACTTGCCAACTTTGATCCAAACGTGCCAGAGGAAATTAACATTTCTTCAGATTCTGAGACCTAATATGTTTTTGGGACACTGATGCAGCTTTGTCAATTCAGCTCAATTCACAATGAAAATATAACTGCCAGAGCACCTATGAGGGCAGACACAAAATGTGCAAAATATTCTGTTATTGTTGGTCAATCTTCCCTTCCCCTCAACAAAGGACTGTAAAGGATCAGTTTGGGGAGAATGTTGACAATAACATATATCTGCGCATTATTAGTACATATCTGAATTCATATATTTTATAGACTGGTTTGGCAACCTGAGCATTAAAAAAGGTCATCTGGTAGTTATTTCTGTAATGTAATTTCTAATCATGACTATTCATTCATTGTACAATGCACTCTATATATGTGCTGTATTAGCTGATAGCCAGTATCTTAACCAGTAGGAGAATCATGTGATCATGTGTATGAGGTCTGTTTATTATTGAAATAACTTTACGGTGTATCTGTTTTGTATTGTATGTAATGTATGTTCATCCTACCTGCACAATAATACCCTTTATTACGGACAATAAAATGTAGCCTATTCGATCAATGCATTGATTCATTTTAATTAGGACATTCATTAAAGCAATGTCAAGTATACCTTAATTTCTCTCAGGAACTTGTTTATCACTGTGGAAGGGAGAGAAATCGGACACTCTATTTCACTCCAGGTTAAGACTGGCATGAGTATTCAACTAAAATGAATGTTGTATGCATTATAAACAATTAAACAGTTTTATCATAGAATGCCTTTAGTAGAGAATGAATCTGTTCGATTGTAGTCAGTGCCATGAAAGTCCTTTTCTATTTTACAGTAGCACACCGCTTGTTCTAAATATAATTTGTTTAGTGTTACTTTTCCCCAGTCAAATATTCAGGCCTACATTTCCACTTCAAGGCTGGACCACAACATAAAACATAGCTTTTGAATATAAGATCTAGTTGAATTAACAGTTATTTTGTATTGAACACTGAACGGTATATCAAAAGGCTGCAAAGCCAATGTCTCCATTCCACATTTAGAAATAAGTATCCTTCCATGTTACCTGCTTCCTAATGAAACCAGCTAGGTTCAAACCTAGGTCTCCTGCGCACCACGATACTGTGTTAGCCCTCTGAGCTAAATCCTAGAACCACTGGTGACATTCCTAAACCTGCTGTCTTTCTGCTATTTTACATATAAAACAAACATCAATATCTTATCTACATTTCATTACTGACATAAAGGGCGTGTACAAAGGCGGTGCTCCAAATGGCACCCTATTCCCTCCATAGTGCACTATGGGCCCTGGTTAAAAGTAGTGCACTATGTAGGGAATAGGGTGCCATTTGGGACGTAGCCATATTTACTGGCCTTTGTCAATTAAGTTCCCCAGTTCTGCACACCCCAGTGTTTTACCTAAAGGAAGAAAGAAGGCTGAATTGTATTTGTCTTGGAGACTAATGCCTCATAAAGAGTAAATATAATTTGTCAATCTGAAATGAGTCAGAGTTAGTGCTGCCTTCCATTTTCCAAATAAAGTATTGTTCATTGTGAACCTTGCCTGGTTGTCGTTCATCCTTCCTGAAATTGCACTGGGGCACAAAATAACCAACAATGTCCATATCTGACACACACACAGCCACACAGTCACACACACAAGCAGGGATGGACAGACTTGGAGGTTGGGGGCCCCCAGAATGCATGTGATAGCAAAAGTGTAGAATTGTAGGAAATTAGCTTTAAAACTGCAACATTTGCTTTTAGTCTCACGACAAAATGTATAGAATAGCATTATAAAATTGCTAACTTTTCTTTCTGCACCATGGCAAAATATGTTGAAATGTAGGAAGTTAGCTGATTCCCCCCCCTTTCACCAATTATTTGGATCTCAAGCCTGATACAATTCGGCTCCACATGTGACCTCAGTCTGGAAGCACAAATCACCTTTTGCACATGTTTGCACATGACCTGCCATTACCATGACAACCACCCCCAAAATGTTAAGGAACAGTGACAGGAAATGAGCATTGCATCTGAGTGCTACTTCAGAGGCTACATCATGAATGCGCAAATCTGATATGGGTCACATGTAAAACTGAGTGTTGACAGTCAGAAAAAAATATTGGATATGGGGGAAAAAACAGAATTGGGTTCTTCAGGTGGTTGTGTAAACATAGCCATGGCGAATGCAATAAATCCGATTTTTTTAAATATAAATAACGGCTTGCTAAAGTGCTAAAATTCAGCATTTCGACATATCCCTCCGTCAACCATGTGTCACTTCTAGGAAGATTTCAACCCACTTAGTCCCAAAATGTCTCCTACTTTTTACCATCATTGTAAAGACTTAGTTATTTTGTTGCTTTGACAGGTAAAATAGAAACTAGAGAACATCTAATGTGATGGACCATATGACTGGACAGATACTATAGAACATCTAATGTGATGGACCATATGACTGGACAGATACTAGAGAACATCTAATGTGATGGACCATATGACTGGACAGATACTAGAGAACATCTAATGTGATGGACCATATGACTGGACAGATACTATAGAACATCTAATGTGATGGACCATATGACTGGACAGATACTAGAGAACATCTAATGTGATGGATCATATGACTGGACAGATACTATACTGTAGATCTGTGCAAAAACATTATCAGGCAGTGTGGTTTAATTTCACACTTCTTCAGCAATGTGCAAAATAAAAAGGCCACTATTTATACATTGCTCAGCTGATTAAACTCTAGTTAAATAATCACCTTTTTACAATGCACATTGTTCAAGAAAAGTGTCAAATTAAATTATACTGCCAGATTATAATGCATTTTACAGTACTTTTGTACAGATTAGAACTACATAAAGATGTCACCCAGTAAGTCAATAGGACGAAACCAAAACACAGACACAGGAGGGTTTAAAAAGTAATTGTTTTTTAAATTTCAGGTCCCAAACCACATAGTTACAACATTATGGAATATAACACCGCATCTTGCAACAATAATTTGGAATGATAAACAAGGCTTCTGCTGCAGTCAGAGAAGAGTTTCCCTGGCATTGAAATGGTTGATATTATCTTGTCTTGGCTCTGCTTAGGGTTGAAAAATCCTGGTAACTTTCCCAAAGTTCCCAGGTTTTCCAGTAATCCAGGTTGGAGGTTTCCGGAATCAGGAGGGAATACCTATGAAAACCTGGGAATTCTGTGATAGTTATTGGAATTTTGCAACCCTAATTCTGCTAAACTGTGTTTTCTACCACTCCACATCCTGAATAAAAAAATAAAAGAATAAGGTATTCCACAGTTAGTCTTTCAGAATTCTATTATAAAAGTCTAGGGTTGAACAGTTATAGGAACTAAACATAAGCAACAACTATGTCTGTTTGTTTGTACTATTAAATAGACAAATAACTTTTATATGAGCAGCTTCTGTTTTAAAACTTTGTATGGCAATATAATTCATATATAATTTAATGTCACCCTGCCATTTTAAAACAAAAGATGGCTACTGTAATATCCATCCAAAAGCACAAACAACCTAAACTAAATGGGTTAAAGTCTCCATTCCAAAGCATGTTCCGACTGAGTCAGAGGGGATTCAATACCTAATGGTGGTTAATATTTGGCCAGCTGAATTGCTGGGAAACTGATATTTTCCACAAGTCGATGGCCCCAAAACTTTGCCTTCCTTTTCTTGTTTCATTGATTTAAAGGCAACAGTCAGTCATTTTCTTGGCAAAGTGGTCCACATCTTACTTAGCCTCTTATACAAGTTTGTTTGGTTTGGAAATTGTGTTCAGAAGGTGTCATTAAAAATTCACATTCCTGCACACACACTCCAAGAGGAGACGGGAAGGATGGAGGAGTGTTTGTGTGTATGTGTGTATGTATGTCTGTCTGTGTGTGTATGTGTGTATGAAGATGGCTGGACAGGCACAGACAAACACACACAAACACACACACACACACACACACGCGCGCACACACAGGAATTCACTGAACGTTTTTGTATTTAATTTACAGTGTCATTCGACTAGACTTTGGCCGTGTGCGCAACATGCAACCTCACCGTGGTTTGACAATCAAGACAGACAGAGGCCCTAAAAATTGTCAAAGACACCAGCCACCCAAGCCATCGACTGTTCTCTCTGCTACCGCACTGGTACCGATGCATCAAGTCTGGAACCAAAAGGACCCTGAAAAGCTTCTACCCCCAAGCCATTAGACTGCTAAATAGTTGACCAAATACAGTGGCTTGCGAAAGTATTCACCCCCCTTGGCATTTTTCCTATTTTGTTGCCTTACAACCTGGAATTAAAATGGATTTTTGGGGGGTTTGTATCATTTCATTTACACAACATGCCTACCACTTTGAAGATGCAAAATATTTTTTTGTGTGAAACAAACAAGAAACAATACAAAAAAACAGAAAACTTGAGCGTGCATAACTATTCATCCCCCCAAAGTCAATACTTTGTAGAGCCACCTTTTGCAGCAATTACAGCTGCAAGTCTCTTGGGGTATGTCTCTATAAGTTTGGCACATCTAGCCACTGGGATTTTTGCCCATTCTTCAAGGTAAAACTGATCCAGCTCCTTCAAGTTGGATGGGTTCTGCTGGTGTACAGCAATCTTTAAGTCATACCACAGATTCTCATTTGGATTGAGGTCTGGGCTTTGACTAGGCCATTCCAAGACATTTAAATGTTTCCCCTTAAACCACTCAAGTGTTGCTTTAGCAGTATGCTTAGGGTCATTGTCCTGCTGGAAGGTGAACCTCCGTCCCAGTCTCAAATCTCTGGAAGACTGAAACAGCTTTCCCTCAAGAATTTCCCTGTATTTAGCGCCATCCACCATTCCTTCAATTCTGACCAGTTTCCCAGTCCCTGCCGATGAAAAACATCCCCACAGCATGATGCTGCCACCACCATGCTTCACTGTGGGGATGGTGTTCTTGGGGTGATGAGAGGTGTTGGGTTTGCGCCAGACATAACGTTTTCCTTGATGGCCAAAATGCTCAATTTTAGTCTCATCTAACCAGAGTACCTTCTTCCATATGTTTGGGGAGTCTCCCACATGACTTTTGGCGCACACCAAACGTGTTTGCTTATTTTTATCTTTAAGCAATGGCTTTTTTCTGGCCACTCTTCCGTAAAGCCCAGCTCTGTGGAGTGTACGGCTTAAAGTGATCCTATGGACAGATACTCCAATCTCTGCTGTGGAGCTTTGCAGCTCCTTTAGGGTTATCTTTGGTCTCTTTGTTGCTTCTCTGATCAATGCCCTCCTTGCCTGGTCCGTGAGTTTTGGTGGGTGGCCCTCTCTTGGCAGGTTTGTTGTGGTGCCATATTCTTTCCATTTTTTAATAATGGATTCAATGGTGCTCCGTGGGATGTTCAAAGTTTCAGATATTTTTTTATAAGCCAACCCTGATCTGTACTTCTCCACAACTTCGTCCCATACCTGTTTGGAGAGCTCCTTGGTCTTCATGGTTCCACTTGCTTGGTGGTGCCCCTTGCTTAGTGGTGTTTTTAAAAAGAAGTTATTTTTTTAATTTCACTTCACTAATTTGGACTATTTTGTTTATGTCCATTAAATGAAATCCAAATAAAAATCCATTTAAATTACAGGTTGTAATGCAACAAAATAGGAAAAAACGCCAAAGGGGATGAATACTTTTGCAAGGCACTGTAGGTCTTCATGCTCTCTTGAGAACTCAAAATGGAGTCAGACGGCAGTGGTGAGCGCTCTGAGGTTGAGCCAGCCCAGGATCAAGTGGGCCTACCTGCGGCGACAGCTGTAGTGGAGACTTCCAACATTTGTCCTGAGAATTCTACCAGAGATGATTTTGGACCGGTAGTTGTGAGATTTTTGGAAAGAGTGGATTCCTGCTTTTTGGGCGACCCATATGTTGTGTCAAGCTGGGTAAAGGACACACTGGGAATGGTTGATTCAGTGAAAGGTTCGAGAAGTGGGATTGTTTAGATTCTTTGTGTATCCGCCTCCCAGAGGAAGCGGGCGCTTCGAGTCACGCAGCTCGGGGTCAACCTGTGGCATGCGCTGCCCTTCGGAGCAGGGCGACCCTAAAAGGGGTGATCAGTGGGGTAGCGTTGAGTGTAGAAGTGGCTCAAATGAAAAGGAATGTTTCTAATGTTTGTGACACCCGACGTTTGGTGAAACATAGACCCGGTGTTAATGGTGAGACTAAGAATACCCTGTCTGTCTTGTTGAGCTTTGACACAGAGTTTTTACCTGATAAGGTCAGGTTAGGTTATATTTGCTATTCTGTGAGGGCCTATGTTCAAAATCTGCTTCGATGTTTTAGGTGTCAACGATTCATACATGTGGCAGCAGTGTGTAGAAGGGAGATCCCACGATGTGAGAAATGTGCAGGAGGGCATAGTCAGAGGGAGTGTACAGTTGGGATAGAGAAAGCACTGTGTCAACTGTGGGGGTGCCATTCAGCTGGGGATCCGAAGTGCCCTGCGAGAGAGAGACAGGTTGAGATTGCCAGAGTTCAAGTGGGGCAGAACGTATCCTATGTTGAGGCAGTGAAGAGAGTAGAGGATAGACCAAGGGTGAGTGAGTTGACTGGGAGACTCCCTGTGAGTAGGCCTGAAGAGAGAGTCCAGAGAGGATGAGTTTCAGTAAGGTTGGATTTATAACCATAGTGATCAACTGCACTGTAATGATGGAGCGGAAGTCACAGCAGATAGTTGTGGTAGTTGCAGCAGCAGAGAAGTATTTGGGTGTGAGAGATATCAGTGCAGAAGATCTACAGGAAGTTTTGAGAGAAGGGGTTACATCATGTCAGGCCGATGGCCTGGTGTAGGATCGTTTAGGGCCAAAGTAGTGGGATGGGGTGGTGGGTTTTTGGGGGGATAGGGTATAGGTGTGGAGTTAGATGGTGGTGCAATTTAAGATTTTCCCATTCTCCTTTCCCCTGTATTTTTTATTTCTTTTTTGTGACCAAAATGTGTAATCCACACTCAGACCTGTGAAAGGCAGCAATACGCAACAGCGTCTAGCCTTCCAGAATGTTACATGAAAAAGAAGAAGACAGTCACGGGTAGTGAGAGAGGATGGAACTAGGTGAAACTGGGCTGACATTCTGCAAATTCTCTCATCAATAAAACATCTGATCTCAATACATTTTTCTGTTCCCAAAACTACAATCTGTTACAAACACAGTGCACCAAGTTTTATAGACTTGACGCTTTGCCAAAGTTACAGAAAATTGTGTTGTTTAGGAGTTCAAGGTCGAATTGAGTTTGTGCACAAGCACACTTCACTGAGGAGGCGTTCCCTCATGGAAATATGCAAATACATGCTACAACGTGCCAATAAGATCTCGCTAGCTCGTGCTTGGCTTTGCCCACCTCCTTGCTTGTTCTGCCCAGTATGCTTCATTTTTCTTCCCACTATAAACGACACAGATGAACGGTCGGTGGAGGAAAAATGGCAGAAGTGGATCCTGAGTTTGAATTAAGCAGCGCGCCGAGTAAATTTGGTGGAGACAAATGTTCTGAATGGACTACAGTATTATCGAAAACTGGAACAAAAAGGAAATTGTCTAAAATTGGAGTGGAGGATACGTGTGTAAATGATAATGAATCGCTTCTTGTTGGGATGCATTTGTTGAGCAAGGATGCATATGTGGGAAACCCATTTTAGGTGACAAATGGTGAAGTATGTACGCTTGGAAAAGTGGAGTCTGTCAGAGTGACCAGGAGTGGTCTTATTTTGATAAATTGTATTTCTGATGAGCAGAGAAAGATTGCCATCCCCAAACCACTGAAGTGTAAGAATTGTAAAGGATTTGGCCATGTTTCAAGTGTGTGTAGACGAACAGAGTATACTGAAGAACGGTGTGTAGAAGGACGACGGTGTTGCAATTGTGGAGGGGGTCATGATCCTGAGTTCCTGGAGTTCCCTGTAAAGGTGAAGGAAATTGAGGTGGCAAAAGTTGGAGCGGTCAATCGAAACTCCTATGCAGAGGCGATTAAAATAATTGAGAAAACAAGGGATGCTAGTGAAGATGCTAGTTTCTGTTGTATTTTTGACTTTTTGTGTACCCCATATGTAACTCTGTGTTGTTGTTTTTATCGCACTGCTTTGCTTTATCTTGGCCAGGTCGCAGTTGTAAATGAGAACTTGTTCTCAACTGGCTTACCTGGTTAAATAAAGGTGAAATAAAAAAAAAATATATATGGTAGTGGACACAATACAGCCTGTAGTAAATGTTTGCTGCCAGACAAAACATACCCTGTGTGTTAAAAAGCTGGATTTTGTTGCGTTCATTGCCACAGTTATAAGCTTTACAGCACAAGTCTCAAAGAAGTCGAAGAAACTGTACATTATTGTGGCTGTGACAGAAACGTTTTTTTGGGACTCAAGGATTTTACATCTGTAGACTTGCAAGGGGTACTGGCGCCGGAAGACCCACCCTCCCGGGTTACCCTTGAGCCTGTTTAGGGATCAGATCTGTTTGATTTAGTTTATTTATTTTAACAGAAAAGTTGTTTGATTTATTTTATTTTATTGATTTTTGGTCCGTTTTTTGGTAGTTCAATTTTTTGGGGGAATCCTGTTTCCATCCCGTATAGTAGGTGGTGCAATGCACATTAAATTGTGATTGCGAATATACCATATAAGAAGAAGAAGACACAATTGAACTATCTTGGTTTAGTTGTGAATATCTTTGACTACAAGCATGCAAGCTCTATACAAAAAATATGCTACGCAGTTGGCTAAGTGAAAGGGAAAGTCTTTAAGGTTCACTTCTTGCTACAAAATCATGGGCAAATTGTCTGTTTTTTTGTTTGTTCTTTCGTTTTACACCATTGTCAACGCAGGTAAGGGTTTAACTTTCTCTCTAACTAATTTAATGATGAATTATGTTATAAAATATAAAATGTCCATAATTGTGTACAGGGTTGGGGAGTAGCCTACGGGCTATACTGATATCACTTATTATTGATATCTAGGCTACATGGCACATTGATGATGTGAATCACACTGCTGCTCTCTAATTTATTTGCACCTTAAGGATAATATCATTCCTCTCCCAGGTTCAGGATCACATTCTCTGTGGGCACTTGCAACACACATCACTGGAGAGACGCCTTTCCCTGAGTTTACAGTTGTGTTAATGTTGGATGACGTTCAAGTGGGTTACCATGACTCCAACATTAAACAGTCTGTCTACAGGGGACAACATATCACAGACAAAACCAAGGATGATGAAGCTCAGGATATAGCTTTTATATTTGAAGATATATACCAGGGGATGAAAGACAGATCATTTTAACTAAATCACCACTTTAATCTCACAGAAGGTGTTCAATGACACATTTTACATACGATGCTGGTAAACTACTACTAGGATGGGATGGGATTACACAAGCATTCAAAAGAACACTTTGGGAGAATGTTTACCTTCCCATGTGCATCAAAGCACTGAAGAGATTCCTGAAGCGAGAGAAGAATGTTGTGATGCGTAAAGTACCTCCCAGACTCAGGTTGATAAAGAAAGAGGTTTCTGGAGGGCTCCAGGTGAGCTGCCTGGCGTTTGGTTTCTACCCCCGCCACATCAACCTGACCCTGCTGAGAGACGGCCAGCCAGTGGTAGAACAGGAGCTGGCAGGGGGGGAGGTGCTGCCTAGTGGTGATGGGACCTACCAGCTGAGGAAGAGTCTGGAGGTCAGTACTGAGGAGCTAAAGAAGAGACACAACTACACCTGTACTGCCTCTCACCTCAGTCTGGACAACAAGCTGGATGTCAGTTGGGAGTCTGGGGCAGAGAGAGTACACCTATCCACCCTCTCAGCTCTACTGGTGATGGTGCTGATTGTTATTCTATTGGGCATTTTCATTTGTGTCAAAAGGAGGTGGAGATGCACTGCCTCCCAGTAGAAACTTGCCAACTTTGATGCAAACGTGCCAGAGGAAATTAACATTACTGATGCAGCTTTGTCAATTCAGCTCAATTTACAATGAAAATATGACTGCCAGAGCACCTATGAGGGCAGACACAAAATGTGTGAATGGTTGTTATGGTCAGTCAATCTTCCCTTCCCCTCAACAAAGGACTGTAAAGGATCCGTTTGGGGAGAATGTTGACAATAAAAAATATCTGGTCATTATTAGTACAGATCTGCATTTATATATTTTATAGGCTGGTTTGGCAACCTGAGCATTAAAAATGGTCATCTGGTAGTTATATCTGTAATTTCTAATCATGACTATTCATTAATTTCACAATTGTATCTGTGCTGTATTAGCTGATATCCAGTATCTTTATCAGAAGGAGAATCATGTGATCATGTGTATGAGGTCTGTTTATTATTGGAATGACTTTACAGTGTCTCTGTTTTGTATTGTATGTAGTGTATGTTCACCCTCTACACAATAATACATTTAACTACGACATTAATTCATGTAATTAAAGCAATGTCAAGTATACCGTAACTTCTCTCAGGAACTTGTTTATCACTGTGGAAGGGAGAGAAATCTGACACTCTATTTCAGCATTTGAATATAAGATCTAGTTTAATTAATTGTTATTTTGTATTGAACACTGAACGGTATATCAAAAGGCTGCAAAGCCAATGTCTCCATTCCACATTTGAAATAAGCATCCTTCCATGTTACCTGCTTCCTAATGAAACCAAATAGCTTTGAACCTAGGTCAAAAATCCTGTATTAGCCCTCTGAGCTAAAGCCTACAACCACTGGCAACATTATATTTCCTAACCTGCCTGGTGCATTTTTCCACGTGAAGGCCACAAACATTGATATCTAACCTAACTTACTCATTACTGACGTGACGGGCTCATATGTTGCGTTCCAAATGGCACCCTATTTCTTACATAGTGCAATATGGGCCCTGGTCAAAAGTAGTGCACCATATAGGAAATAGGGTGCCCTTGGGAAGGTAGCCATAATCACTGGCTTTAGTCAATTAAATTCCAAGGTCTCCAGTGTTTTCCCATTAAAAACCTTAAAGGAAGAAAAACGCAGAATACAATTTTTCATGGAGACTAATGGCTAATAAAGACTAAATGCCATTTGTCAATCTGAAATGAGTCAGAGTTAGTGCTGCTTGAGTGCATTGAATGCAAGGGATACCAGCGAGCAAAATACAATAATAGCCAGTCTGTGTTGAGCTAAACTGAGTGAGTTCAACTGTGAATGGTCCTGATTTGGCTTCACACCAATCACATCACATCAAGACAAATGTCATTTTACAGAAAAAAAAACGTACATTGTTGCATCTCATTGTGTTTTTGTCCTCCGGTGGCTAGCTAGCTAGCTTAAATGGTCCCTTTACTAAATTAGCCATGGATGGACCTTGAGATTTGGACTTCTGGTTGTAGCCTACTTAATTATCTGTGCCGGCCAATGATTGTAACAGCGATTCTGATCCAACCATAAATTCATGCATTGTGCCTCTGGCCTGAGAGGATGGAAGTTCAATATGTAGCAAGACGTAGTAGGCTAATGTTAACTAGCTGGCTAATCGTTGCCCATGAAAGGAAGCTAGGCTAGCGAGCATGCATTTTAGCCAGGTAGCCTAGGACAACAAACTAAAAGCGTGTGCTGTATGAAGAGTCATAAACCGTTTTCACAACATGAAAGGGAGGAGGATGGCATTGACGTTTCTCACAAGTAGGGTGAGTCAACATGTTTTCTTCTACTTACATACGCACACACACACACGTTCAGGTCATCAGACTGGTTTTGCTCAGAACAAGCAACATGACTGAGACAATCAAGACGCCAAGCTAAATCCAAGGACAGTAAACATGTTAATGATTTACACATCATATAATCTGAACAGCCCTTTGACTGGACTGGAGTTCCAGATTAAGGTGTTCAGAGTAATTTCCAGACTGACACCAAAGACAAAGGACCCTCTCTTCTCATTCCACCCACGGTGGTTATCGGCTAGAATTCCCAACTCTACTTTTTTGACTCGTTCAATAACATTACAGGAGCATACCTTTTTTGATGAACAAAAGTCTGTCAGACTTGAGAGCGTAGAAACCACATGTGACCTCAGTCTCGAAGCTCAAACATCACCTGTCATTACCATGACAACCACCCCCAAAATGTTAAGGAACAGTGACAGGAAATGAGCATTGCATCTTTGTGCTACTTCAGAGGCTACATCATGAATGCACAAATCTGATATAGGTCACATGTAAAACTGACTGTGGACAGTCAGAAAAAAAGATTGGATATGGGGGAAAAAACTGAATTGGTTTCTTCAAGTGGTTGTGTAAACATAGCCATGAAGAATTAAATAAATACGATTTTTTTTAACATAAAAAAAGGCTTGCTAAAGTGCTAAAATTTTACCATCATTGTAAAGCCCTAGTTATTTTGTTGCTTTCACAAAGTCAAATAGATACTTGCGAACATCTAATGTGATGGACCATATGACTGGAGCGATACTAGAGAATATCTAATGTGATGGACCATATGGCTGGACAGATACTATAGAACATCTAATGTGATGGACCATATGACTGGACAGATACTATAGAACATCTAATGTGATGGACCATATGACTGGACAGATGCTATAGAACATCTAATGTGATGGACCATATGACTGGACAGATACTATAGAACATCTAATGTGATGGATCATATGACTGGACAGATACTAGAGAACATCTAATGTGATGGACCATATGACTGGACAGATAATATAGAACATCTAATGTGATGGACCATATGACTGGACAGATACTAGAGAACATCTAATGTGATGGACCATATGACTGGACAGATGCTAGAGAACATCTAATGTGATGGACCATATGACTGGACAGATACTATAGATCTGTGCAAAAACGTCATTACATTTCATTATAATCAGGCAGTGTGGTTTAATTTCACACTTCTTCAGTAATGTGCAAAATAAAAAGGCCACTATTTATGCAATGCTCAGTTTATTAAACTCTAGTTAAATAATCACCTATTTATAACACACATTGTTCAAGAAAAGTGTCAAATGAAATTATACTGCCAGATTATAATGCATTTTACAGTACTTTTGTACAGATTTTAACTACAGCATTTTGCACCATAAAGATGTCACTCAGTAAGTCAATAGAATGAAAACAAAACACAAAGACAAAGGAAGGTTTAAAAATGTATAGTTTTTTAGATGTCAGGTCCCAAACCACAAAGTTACAACATTATGGAATATAACATTGCTTCTGGCAACAATACTTTGGAATGATAAACAAGGCTTCTGCTGCAATCAGAGAAGAGTTTCCCTGGCATTGAAATGGTTTTTATTATCTTGTCTTGGCTCTGCTTAGGGTTGAATCATCCTGGTAACTTCCCCAGGTTGGACGTTTTCCTGAATCAGGAGGGAATACCTAGGAAAACCTGGGAATTCTGTGATAGTTAGTGGAATTTTGCAATATTAACTCTGCTAGAAGGACTGTTTTCTACCACTCCACATCCTGAAAAAAAAATACAAGAATAAGGCACTCCTTAGTTAGTCTTTCAGAATTCTATTATTAAAGTCTAGGGTTGAACAGTTACAGGAACTAAACATAAGCAAGACCTACAATATACTGTATTTGGTTGTACTTTTAAACAGACAAAGAGCTTTTATATGAACTGTTTTAAAACTTTGTATGGCAATATAATTCATACATAATTGAATGTCACCCTGCCATTTTAAAACAAAAGATGGCTACTGTAATATCCATCCAAAAGCACAAATAAGCAAAACTAAATGGGTCAAAGTCTCCATACCAAAGCATGTTCCAACTGAGTCAGAGGGGATTCAATACCTAATGGTGGTTAATATTTGGCCAGCTGAATTGCTGGGTAACTGCTCTTTTCCAGAAGTCTATTCAAGTCAAGAGTGGCCCCAAAACGTTGCCTTCCTTTTCCTGTTTCTTTGATTTAAAGGCAATAGTCAGTCATTTTCTTGGCAAAGTGGTCCACATCTTACTTAGCCTCTTATACAAGTTTGTTTGGATTGTAAACTGTGTTCAGAAGGTGGCATTAACATTCACATTCCTGCACACACACTCCGAGAGGAGACGGGAAGGAAAGAGGGAGGAGTGTGTGTGTGTGTGTGTGTGTGTGTGTGTGTGTGTGTGTGTGTGTGTGTGTGTGTGTGTGTGTGTGTGTGTGTGTGTGTGTGTGTGTGTGTGTGTGTGTGTGTATGAAGACGGCTGGACAGGCGGTAGGAAAACAGAGAGAGGTCCCGCAGGTGTGATGCATGCGTGTCACACACACAAACACACACATACACACACTGGAATTCACTGAACG